GTAATATAACTAAATTTATTTACAGAAATAGCTCAACTGAACTAGTAATTTCTTTCCAACAAGTCTTTTTTCAAGAAAAAATAAAGAGAAAGAAACATCTTAAATCAAATCCAGTGCCTCGCCGTGCCTGTAGAGGGCGGCATTGTATTTTTCACGCTATCATAATTAGATCCGCAGAAGAAGAAATTCTCCGCAGCTCACGCGCTGCTGGTTCAGGGTTGGCTAACACTGTTGCTAAATTTCGTGTAGATCATGGCAGCTTCCAAGCCAGTGGAGCCCCAGTCGGGGACTGGATTACCCCGCTGGCAGTTGGCGCTGTTAGTCGGGACTCCCATCGTGCTCGGTGTTGGGGCGGTTTACCTGTGGAACCGCAGCCGGAGGAAGGAAACTAAAAGGACCGGGGAACGGAAAACCCCAGAAGGCAGCGCCAGTCCGGTGCAGGGCCAAGACGGAGCCAATCGAGAGGAGGAGAGCATGGTACTGTTACTGGACTGCGTTAGGACTCCTCGGGGCTTTGTCTTTTATTTGATTCTACTTAAATGAGCACGGTCTCTGTATACGTCTGAATATTTTTAATGTCAGTGTCTTGAACTTCTGTCAAGGACACCTGAAGATCCCGACGCAGTAGTGACAGCTGCCTTCACAAGCGCTAGGCCGCCGGGGTGGATTAACCTTTGCTAGTTAGCTGTCTTGCTAACACAGCTAGCATGGTTCTGGTTGTCTAATGTCAGACACATTAAGCACTAATCTTATATAAACTGCTTGAACACACTGCTGGCTTAATAATTTTTAAATGAATTATAAATAACAGCATGCCAAACGTTTGAGTAAAGATAAGTTTAGGCGCATGCTAACAGGCTAACACAGGTTGCAGAGTCAAAGCTGCCGATTTAAACCAGGCTTAACTTAAGATCTGCTCTTGTAAAACCTGTTTTCAGTATAACTGAACAAAATCTGCTTGTTTTTCTGTTAAAACTACATTAATTTGAAATGTAATGAACACTGACATCTTAGCCACCTTTCAATTTAAAGGCACACATGTTGACAATGGGTGTGTTAATTCCTGTTGGGACGCACGGCGCTTCAGTAATTACAGCTTTACATAAACATTTATTTCATTTTTGTACCTCAGAGATCAGAAGCATCTTGTTCCAGAGTTATGAGGAAGAAAAAAAAGTGGTGCATGGCATGCATTTGTGACATGTTTGCATATTATTTTGAGTATTCAAATATTACTATGTTGCTCCAGATATCTGCAAACCGATCACATTTCTCCTGTTTTAGCATTGCTACAGTGGTTTTTAATAGAGATTTTAGTTCAAAAATCCTTCTAATAACTTACTAAAAACCTTTCATGGCTTATAACTCTTTTTAAAATAATCTCTTTGCCCTTTTATCACCTCATTTTGCTTGATGTTCCAAGAAACCTTTTATAGGCAGAGCTTTCAGCTTTCATTTCGTTGCTCAGGGAAACATGTTTTTCATCTGTGCATATGACTGAAGAAATTTATAGTTATTATGGCTTAGTACTGATTATAAACAACACCAGAGTATTAGGGTTTCCTTATTTTATAATACTTTTATAATGTTTGTTATAATTATGTGTTAATTAAATTAGGTAGATACATGTCCGAATTATAACAACACATAATTAAAGCTGTATTAACATTAGATTAAGTGTGGTTTGTATGAATGCCTGTGATTCAGCTGTAGGCCAGCAGGGGGCGAACTCAGGCATTGAAGATCCTGTATATATATACCGGTCCATTTCCTGTTTGACTCCCAGTGTGTGGTTTGACTTGCCAGTCCGTGGCAGAATAAACCCCCACTCCAGAATTCTGATATTGTATGGCATTTATTTCTTATCACAGATCATTTTATTTAACACTGGTGTTTTCATCTGACTTCAGCCGTTATTGACCACGTATTTCTTACATGACAATAAACACTTTGAATTTGAATCTGAATCTTCAGTTTTCAGGTCCTACTGCTGAAGGAGCTCCAGGTTTTACAGTTGTTTTAATGACCACATTAATAGAGCTCACATAAGTTGCAGACTTCCCCTCTAGAATCTGAGTTGTTTGGATGACTGAGAATCTACCGTATTTTCTGTTCTTTTTTGTAGAAGTTAAATTGTTTTTGTCCAAAGTTGTGACCCTGTGGTGTAGTGAAGAGCAGTATGCACAACTCTGTGCCCTCTTAGCTACTAGATTAAATAACCAGAGAGGGAGAGAAGCTTGGAGAAATACTTTCCTTATGAAAAACCAGTGAAGAGAAAGATGCAGAGTGAATATATTCAGTTCTCACAATAAATCAATGATGGTCTGGCATTCCTTGCAAGATGTTGTGAGCTGTTAGCGCTCAGTATTTGTTGGGGATGACTCTCAGCTACTAACATCAAATATTAGCTCAGTGTCTGTAAAACTGACTGAGTTGGTCAGGTTTGTGTTGGTTAAAGTTGATTAGTTCTGGAGGCCCTTTTAAATTGTGTTGATTCCAAAAAAATTATGACTTTTAAATTTTAACTAAAACCAATCAGTTGTATCTTAAAATATTAAGCTGATAGACAAATGAAGACAAAGTACATTTAATGTGGCGGTTGTATTTTTCACAGAGTGAAACCACTAAGTAGGCTTTGCTGTCAGATTAAAAACTGTTAATTTTGTCTGCAAACAGATGAGATCAAATCTTTCTTTCATTGTTGTGTATTTTCTCACTCTGTTCTCATTTCATTTTACAAATACAGAACTATGTCAGTCAGTTTAGAAAAAGATGAAGTCATGTAAATGGTTCTTGTTGTGTCCATAGTCTTAAAGGGATCCCTGATTAGTTGTAACATTAGACTTTATTTGATGAACATATATTTTAACTGTAAAATAAAGACTGTAAAAATACTGTAGGCTGTTTAGTTTTGTAAATTTTTAAAAATATATTTTAAAACGGAGCCATTTTATTTACACACAAAGCATTCTGGGTAAATGATGATGTGGATAGGTCCTCGGTGTGAGCGAGCTATATCCACCCTGAAGGTTAATCTTGGAC